AGCAATAGTAGCAATAGTAGTAGTAGCAATAGTAGTAGTAGCAATAGTAGTAGTAGTAGTAGTAGTAGTAGTAATAGTAGTAGTAGTTGTTGTTGAAGAAGTAGCAGCCGTAGTAGTACTGACAGTCGTCCCGATGCTTGTGGTAGTGGTGGTGGCGTGATTATTGCCAGTGCTGCCGCTTGAAACGATTGCTATTGTTCCACCATTCTCTCCATTCATCATGTGATCGAGGCCTGACAAGCTACAGCCGCGCCTCCATCTTCAAGTAGCCTTTTGAAGAGATCTTCAGCTGCTGCAGAGCAGCAAACCCGTACTGGAGAATTGCCAGCTTCTTGCTGCGGTATGTGCAGCCTCCGAAACGCAAAAAGCCAAGTTTGCGAAAGGCACGGCAGCATGGACTTCGCTAAAAGCATGCTGACAGGGTACCTTTCATGCCGCTGGTGCCAAGCGTTCTTGGTAGCATGCAGCCCTTGTGCTGAAGCATAGGAGTGCCCACGGGCGACAAACATGACCACATATTTTCCAAATTCCTGCTTCGTGTTACTACTACTGCTACGACGTCGACGACGACAACGACCACTACCACTACCAGGTACTCACTATCACTACTGTCACTACCACTGCCACCACCACTACCACCACCACCACCACCACCACCCCCACCACCACCACCACCCCCACCACCACCACCACGACCACCACCACCACCACGACCACCACCACCACCACCACCACCACCACTACCACTACCACTACCACTACCCCTACCACGACGACGACGACGACTACTACTACTACTACTACCACCACATTGCCACTGCCGCTACGACGACGACGACGACCACGGCCACTACTACCACGACGACTACGACTAGGACTACGGCTACACTACTCCTCACTACTGCTCTCTGCTAGCAATTCTCTGCTATCGTCTAGGTGTTGAACCTTCCGGACCCCCGTCTGCAAGCTTGTCAGTCTAACCCTCCAAAGCAGTAGCAGCTCGTGCCTACGCCATTGTTCTCCTGACATGGCCGGAGGCACAGGCAAGAGGATGGGGTATCCTAAATCCTAAACCCTAAACCCTACATAAACCCTAACCTGAAAACCCTACACCCTAAACCCTATGTAAACCCTAAATCCTATATAAACCCTAAGCCATGAACCCTATACAAACCCTAATAACCCTAAAACCCCCCGCCTTCCCAGGGCCCTGAACCCCGAAATCTTGCGATCATCAGTCGTACTTCCTTGAGACTCTTGAACCCAGAGAGCCCAATAGCTGTTAAATAAGGAATAGACCTTAAATTATAGGGGCTTTAATCTTATGATTTAAGGTATATTCCTTAATTGAGGGGTATTGGGCTCTCTGTGAAAGTCTGAAACCCTAAACTCTGCCATCCGAAACCCCCGTCTAAACCCCTAAACCCTCCCCCTGACGGATCCTGCAGGCAGAATGGGAAGGCCGATTGACCGCTCTTGGGAGGTGAGCTATCGTCCCCCGCCAGTCTCTGCAAGACCACCACCTGGTTTCAAGCTGCAGCTCTTGGGCTTTCTGGTTCTCCGATGGCATTCGGCACTCTTGGTTTTTAGTGAGACTTGTTTAGGGCTTCGGCTCTGAGGGTCTGAGAGTAGAGTCCCTAAAACCTAAGCCCTGAACCCGGAACTTTAGCCCCAGGAGGCCGCAGCAAGTAGTAGCAACCACGGGCTTAGGGGTAGAAGGGCTTGGGGTTCAGCAACGGTAGGATTATCTATTGGGCTAGTGCATGCTATAAATACTATAGCAAACTAAACTATACTATTCTATACTATAGTATACTATAATATACTATACTATACTATACTAAGGTAGCGTTTGCAAAAGCAGTAGAAGTCCTCGCCCGCCTGATGTTTGGTCTGCTCGACACCACTGAGGGTAGACTCAGGCTTGGTGATGGCAAGCCAGCCGTCGAAGGCGCCAAATGGGCTGAGCTTCTTCCGTTCCTGCATGCTTTTAGGGTTTAGGGTTTAGGGTTTAGGGGTTTAGGGTTTAGGGTTTAGGGTTTAGGGTCAAAGCCGGCCCGCAAGGCATGGCAAGCAGCAAACTCGATTCTGTAGTTAAGGTCAAAACCCAGAAGATCACCCTTGGTCTCGTAGCCCTGACACAGGAAACACCGAACACAAGAGCTAAGAGTCCCTCTGCACGGCCCTGTCCATTGCTGCGTTTACTCTGCAGTGGGGCGGTGTTCACCGAAGCGCACAGTCTTTCAGATACACTGAAGCAGCTCTGTCTTGGTTTCCCCCATATGGGCTGAGGGGTTTAGGGTTTAGGGTTAGGGGTTCGAAGGGCGAAGTAGAATGTTGCATATGTTACTGTCTTGATCCTCAGCGCTAGCTCCCTTAACACCAGCAGAATGAACTCAGCATGTGCAAGAAGCCTCCTTTATTGCTGGTCGTCGCAACATCAGGAGAAAAAACGATGCTCATCAGTCTGTGTTTTGTTCAGACACTATGTGTGCAAACCGGTTCTTCTTGTAATGAAGACGTGCAGATATGCATATATATATATACACAGGTGTCATATTCATTTGCCTAGCATACGAAACAACAAATACACTCAGTTAGTAGTCTATTTGTCTACCTATGTTGCTTGTTTGCTTTATCAAAGATGTCTACTCATTATGCATTCTGCCCATCCATAATACAGTGGGCAGCAGTAGATCACTAATTACAAGCATTAATCGTCTTGTTACCACCGACCAGCCGAATCCGTGATAAACGTTCGGCAAAACGTAACCACATAACTCACCTGAAAATGCTACAGAAAACCCTAGACCCTAAACCCTAAACCCTGAACCCTAAGCCCTAAACCTGAACGTCAATGTCCAACAAGCAGCGCAATCAACCCTAAACCCTAAACCCTAAACCGATCCAAGGCACAGCTTCATCCTTCGAATCCTTCGGCCAGGTGCCCCAGTAGGTCTCGGCCTTGGGTTTAGGGTTTAGGGGTTTAGGGTTTAGGGTTTAGGTTTTCTGATATTTGAAGTTTGGAGGTTTTTTGGTGGTACTTGTAAGGATTTAGGGTTTGGGATTTAGGGTTTAGGGTTTCGGGGTTTGCGGGGTTTCGGTGGTAAGGATTTAGGGTTTGGGATTTCTGGCACTCCCCTTCATGTTAACAGCTCTGCGAGCCGTTCAGCGGATAGGGCTGGGATACCAGGTCCCGACCAAGAAAGACCAGTTCCTTTAAAGGGCGCAACAACAACGGTTACTATAATACTGTAAGGGTTGATATAAGGGCTTGGTACGGAGGCCTTATTAAATAGAATGGGGGTGTTGGCTATAGTATTTATAACTCGGGCATCTATGATAGCAGTCTTCCAAGAAGCCCCTCTCTGAACCCGAGAACTGCAGCTTGTCAAGAAGCCGGCATCTGAAATAGGGGCCTGGGTAATTGGACCACGGTTTTGGGGGCTGTCATAAGGCTATACTGACTCCCCTAAACCCTAAGCCCTAAACCCTAACAACCCCTAAACCCTAAACCCCTAAACCCCAAAACCCTAAACATTGTCACTGGTCATCATTCAGGTGCATATCTTGGGTCTGTTCCTCCTTGAGCTGGATCTTGAGGTTTTACAGTAAGCTAAAAGTTGGAACGGTTTAGGGTTTAGGGTTTGGTGTTTAGGGTTTAGGGTAATCCTTAAGAGTCATGTATGACGAATCCCAGAACAGTTCGACCAGAATCTGGTTTCCAACTTTTTTGGGGGCTTACTATACGTTGGAAAAGGCTAACTTGTGCGGGTGTATGGCGATGAATGCAAGGTTGGTTGAGTTGTTGCTGACGGTGCCCTCACGATGATGCGACGCTAGTATGGTAATGCTTCTCAAGCATTACTCCCAGAAATGGTACAGTACGATTATTTTCTTGCTCGCAAGCCTCAACTCCGAAATTCTCCCAATCCGTGACCCTGCAGAAATCACCCTAAACCCTAAACCCTAAACCCCTAGAAGCTAAACCCTAAACCCCAAACTCCTAAACCCCAAACTCCTAAACCCCATAGAAGCGACTCCGCACTCAGCAGCGGGCAAAGGCCATGTACCACGCCACATCCGTCTCCGAGACCCGGGAGTCGATGTCAAGGGGGAGCAGCAGAGGGCGCCTGAAGGCCTTGTCGTCCTGGAGGGGTTTAGGGGTTTTAGGGTTTGGGATTTAGGGCTTTGGGTTTAGGGTTTAGGATTTAGGGTTCAGGGGTTTAGGGGTTTAGGATTTGGGTTTAGGGTTCAGGGCTTAGGGTGAGAGTTGCACGGTCCAGAGAAGGGTAAGCCCCGATATTCTACGAAGTAGGCTCGGAGAGAAAGCGACATGGAGAAGCTTTAGGCGAATACCCTAACCCCTAACCCCTAAACCCTACACCCTACACCCTAAACCCTAACCCCTACACCCTACACCCTAAACCCTAAACCCTAAACCCTAAATACAGCCCGAAGAGTTGATCTTTGATCGGCTCTTCTGACAACTTTGGTAGCACCTGGGCTTCGTTGGACGAGGACTGCCAGAAAAACTTAAGAACAGGGTGCAGGGCATAGGAGCTGTTTGAGGTTGAACGGGTGAAGACAGGGGGAGTTGCTGGATTGGGCCTTTGGGCTTCGTATTTTCGAGTCTCTCACCCAGGCTCCTCCTGCCACTCTCTTCTGAAATGGCCCTGTCTGAGTTTCGTGATCATGTCGAAGTAGATCTCACGCCTCGACAGCATGCAGCCGAAGGTCTTTGCGATTGGGACGCAGGGTTTCTTACGGGTCCGGCTAGAGGGTGTAGGTTCACGCTGGACTGCTGAGGGTTTCTGCAGGCTCCTTCCGGCCAAGTCGCCTCGAACCCCACAGAAGTGCCGGCAAACTGCTCACTCGAACCTTCAAAACTCCCTCGACTTGCGCAGGAACCCCCCTCTAGCGCCCTGGACCCCAAAAAACCATATCCTAGACACCACTTGCCTTGGTCATGCATTCCCAAACCGCAGCCGGAAACGTCTAAGCCCAAGAGCTTGCAGGTTGACAATCTTCCCTCCAAAAACCGAGTGCGGGCTTCGGGTTTAGAAGCCCGGAGGTTTAGGGTTGAGGGTTTTACGGTTTAGGGTTTAGGGTACACCTGCCTGTGAAGGCTCCAGCGACTGTCGTATTTTTTGTGGTCACAGATGCCGGGTTTCTCAAGCACTGGCGTGTCTTAGGCTCTGCGCTTCCATAAACCCCAAGCCCCTCCTTATCAACCCTAGGCCCCGCAGCCCTAAACCCTCAAAGGAGCCGTCAGAGATCCCTTAAAGGGAATCTCAAAGGGAACGCTGCTCGAATTACTTAGGCACTATGCTTAACCCTTATAGATCCCTTAAAAGGATCTCCTACAGGCCTAGTATATAACCCGATAGCACCCTTCAAAAGAACCATGTACAACCCTATACCCCCCATCAAAGGATCCCCTACAACGGACCCTAAGGCCACTAGACTTAACCCCTTATAGAAGCCTGTTAATGGATGCCTTTACGGAGGCGCTATTATAGAAACCTTGAGAGAAGAACCCTAGAATGGAACCCTGAAAAGGAACCCTGTTTCCCCATTCTTTTACCTCAAGGGGAACCCTATTACCCCAATGTAGAACCCTACTGTACCCGTAAGGGGGGCCCTATTCTAGAACCCTATAGTACCCCTGAACCCTAAACCCTTAAAACCCTAAACCCTGAACCCTAAACCCTAAACCCTTGAACCCCAAACCCTTAAACCCTTAAACCCTGAACCCCTAAACCCTGAACCCTTAAACCCTAAACCCTTGAACCCTAAACCCTATACCCTGAACCCTAAACCCCTAAACCCTAAACCCTGAACCCTCAAACCCAAAACCCTAAACCCCTAAGCCCTGAACCCCCTGAACCCGAAACTGTCAAAGGAAGCCTGGAAAGGAGCCCCCTCGGGACCCCTCCTTTGGGTTTAGGGTTTAGGGTTTAAGGTCTTTTGTTTTTTTTAAGGGCCTTTTTGGGTTTAGGGTTTAGGGTTTAAGGTCTTTTTTTGTTTTAAGGGCCTTTTTGGGTTTAGGGTTTAGGGTTTAAGGTCCTTTTTTAAAGGGCCTTTTGGGGTTTAGGGTTTAGGGTTTAAGGTCTCTTTTTAAAGGGCCTTTTGGGGGTTTAGGGTTTAGGGTTTAAGGTCTTTTTTTTAAGGGCCTTTTTGGGTTTTGGGTTTAGCGTTTAGGGTTTAGGAACCCTAAACCCTAAACCCTAGGGTTGGCCTGCCCGTGGGATCCTTCTGCTTCCAGGACTCCTGGCGCCGGGCGGCCCGTGGAAGCCAAGGGGTTTAGGGCTTTAGGGCTTTTAGGGCTTTAGGGCTTTAGGGCTTTAGGGGTTTAGGGCTTTAGGGGTTTAGGGGTTTAGGGGTTTAGGGGGCTTTAGGGGTTTAGGGGTATAGGGGTTTAGGGGTTTGGGGATTTAGGGGCGTATGGGTCTTTGGAAGGCAGGTTTGGTAGTTCAAGGTTTAGGGATTTAGGGATTCAGGATTTTCAAAGGCTTAAAGGGATTAGGCTTTAGGGTTTAGGGGTTTAGGGTATATACCGAGGACGACGAAGAGGCGGACAGAGAAGAGAAAAGACGAGGATGACGTGGAAGATCAAGATGATGAAGATGATGATGACGCCGAACATGGATAGGAAGAGCAGGGGAAGGTGAAGATAACGATGAAGCGGAGCAGCATGGGGACGAGGACGAGGAGGCGGAGGAGGAGAAGGACGAGGAGGCGGAGGAGGAGGATAAGGTTGTCGACGAGAGTGGATGGGGTTGGCTGAGATAGATGTGAAGGAGAAAAACATGAGGATGCTCTCTGGTCTTGTCACCCAGAATGGCACGTTTATTTAGCACACCGAGTTCAACACAATGGGACTATTCGGTTGCACACTTCCAACATGCTACCATATCAGCGCAAGGCTGGTGAATAATTCCAGCATGACCCTCGCTGAACAGGACATGTCGATTTGGGCCATC